AATTTTCTAGAAGCTCATGACGTGTTACTAGAGCCACGTGACTTCCTCTGTCGTAACAATAGGATTGCTAGCTATAATAAAATTGAGTTAGTTTATACAGATCCCCAGCCTCATCCCAGCTGTCGACTGGCGTGATCTTAACGACTTTCTGAAACTGGTGTTGACACTATTACGGCACTGAAACAAAAAAAACGAAAAATGTTGAAATTTTTAAATCACTAAAGCCAGTAGATAACTTGATATGCCCACGTATCATTGGGCAAGAGAAACCATCAGCAGTAATCTTCAGGAATTTGTTAGATATATGTCCATTGAAACATCCATGAGAGAAATGGAACTTAAAAGAGAAAAAAGTAACATAAGGAAGCACTTGCTCACTGATAATTTTAAAACTTTGTTAACATTGGTTGAACTTGAAGGGTATTATCGACTGTAAAAAGAGTTTCAATAATTCAGTGTTTCAAAAGTTTTTCGACTCCATTTAAAGTCACTTATAAGTGGTAAAACACTAACTAATATTAATTTTTTCCCATCATAGAATTTAATATTTTTGAATATGATTTTTACGTAATCTTACTTGTCATTAATTTATATACTTATTTGGTTACAACATAGATATTTACATTTCTTTAATCATTCTTTTGGGAACTTATTCAAATCACTGCGCAACTGATTAAAATTATATTATTATATTAAACATTTAATATTTCCAAGTGTTTTTTCTCTCATGATTTAATTAAGTAGAGAGGGCAACGCGACTTGTAAAGCGAGTGGTGTGTGTTGTTTATCGTTACTTTCGTGTTGAACATTTTCAGACTGATTACCATAACTACTGTGCTGCTTATGACTATTATAAGGAAGAGGTAAATTATTTATAATCTGTCAGTGTAATTTTCACAATGCCCAAAGGAAAAGGAGGTGGTGGAGAATCCAAAGGAGCAAAAGGCGGGAAAGGAGGAGGAAAGGGAGGTGAAGCTGCTGCAGAAGGAAAGAGTCAACAGAAGCAGAGCAAAGGAGGGAATGCAGTGAAAGTAAGCCAACGTTTAATATTTTATTTTTTAAATTTCAGCATCTTGTATGATAGTATCTGTATAGAGACTAAAGGATGGAACTGGGTAATTTTGTATTGTAATATATAGACTAGGTGAAACATGATATACATGGTGTAATGTTTTAACTTTTATCAGTAATTGATTACTTTTTGGGAAGGATATGTAACAGCCTTTTCCACAGTAAAATATTCATATGCTTTGGTCATCAAGAATCAGGAATTTAGAACTTACAAAATGGTAGTATCCCTTGTAGTTACTGGCATTTGAAAACAAAGATATATGGACCAACTTGGGCAGCAGGACCTTCCAGAAAGTGCCCTGCAACAATTTGTACTCTAACCATGACAAGAAAAGTGTGACATCTTATAACTGATGAGAAGCCATCCACTTATCCCAAGTAATAGTACACAACATAATTAAAAGAATTTTTCTCTGCAAAAGTGACACAAGTCACATGTATACAAGCTGCTTCCACAACATATCCATTCAACTGTCACACCTCAAGCAACTGGAGAATCAAAGAGTATTTATGCTACTATGTACAAAGACACACCAATCAGGCAGAGCCTATGGATTTTTGTGCTATGAGTTTTGAAACTATAAGGCTCCAAAATTGTTTTAATGTAACATACTCAACTTCTGTATCATTTGCTTCAGAGTTTGGTAAACAATGTTATTTTCCCCAGGATGTTTTAGTTTCTTAACTATGTTCTACATCATTCTAATGGGCTTTTGTAAAGATAGGCATGTTTACAATTTATATTAACTTTCTTTGTCAGTCTTTGTACTCATGATTAACTATAAAGCACTATAGATAACAGCAAATGAACCAGTGAAGCATCTATCACTTTGTTAAATATATTCATTCTGCTTCTGGTAAAATTTATTAGAGGAGAGAAAGAAAGTTTAAAATGTAAAAAAGTATGGGAGAAATTGCAGAAGTCAAGTTCTGGTTATTTGGTCGGGACTTGAATCCTGATACATTATGTTAGTTAATAGTACACTATCTTCAAAGCACTAGTGTGAACTAAAGGTTCTGTGTTCAATCTTCAATGAGGATGTAACAAACCTGTTACTCTACAATGAGAATAATTAAATGTTAACACCAGGATTGTTAAGAAAAACAGAGTATTTATTAATCGAGCAGGCCTCAGAGCTTGCAAGACCCAAAGGTAGAGTAGCTCACACGGCGTTCTTCAATATATTAATAGTTATTCAAAAATGTTACATCACAATATCAGCATATGCACTTTCTGGTTGGCATGATGTCATAATATTGGTGT